ACTGACTGTTTTAAAATGGCTGCCCTGCCAAGTGGCAGTTGGCTCTACTCCTTTTTCCATAGCAACCCAGCTCAAAGTGATCTAAGCTGGCAACCATTCCCCCCAGTTATGCAACTGTAAATACTTACCTTTCTAAACACCTATCTATAACTATACATAACAGTAGATTAAAATTTACACTTCACCACAGAAGGGCAGGGTACAAATACTTGAAATAAATAAATAAAACAAATACCTTGGTCAATGTAAGTTATGGTGAAACTTACAGCAATATGGGACACAACATTTTCATCTCTGATCTGACATTTTTCATTCATGGCATGAGCCACTACCCTTTTTACTTATGGATGAATAGACAGTGTTTTTAATATTTACCAGACAGTTCAGAAGATTCCAGGTATATGACTGACTCTAAACATATGTAGTGTCTTCTCAAAAAATAAATGTTTAGCCCTCTTATAATACAACACTATGGATGTTTATTCAAGTTAGTAAGTTCCAAGTTTGGCAGTGGAATATGCTGCCTTGGAGTCTGGTGGTTTTTAAGCGGTGGCTGGATAGCTATTTGTCACAGGTGCTTTGATGGTGTGTTTCTGCATGACAGAAGGGGGCTGGACTGGATGGCACTTGAGGTCTTACCAACTCGATAATTGTATGAAATGGGATTTACTTTCTGATCAATGTTGGCAGCATTTTAGTTCCTCTCCTTGCACTTGCTCACAAGTACGTGCATGTAAACACATGGAATCAAATATAGTCCAGTTTTCCCCAGCCGAATGACATCCCGATTGAATTATAGCCCCTCTTATCGGCAGTCAGATTGTGTTGATTGAGGATGATGGGAGTGGTAGTCCAATGCAACTGGAGATTTGCAAAGGCTAATACAGTCCCTTCTTACCTGCCACACCCTGAAACTCTAGAGAATTGCATTTGAACATTTTTTTCTGATTGTTGACCGGATAAATAGATAATTCAGAACAGCTTCGAAGCTGTAATCACAGTTCATTAGACTAATGCCTCTGCTTTGTGTATGTACAAAGTCCAGGTGATAAAGTCTCTGGAAAGTTTCAGAAGAGTAATACTAGGCAAGCAAGTCAAGTATTTTCTTGAAACCGAAACTATTGGGAAAATATTCAAGAAAAAATACAGAAGATACTAAAGATAAATGTACAACTGAAGCTGGAATACTTTTTATTAGGAATTATAGATATGGACTTGGAGAAGAACAAAGAAAAACTTTTCAACTATCTAGTCATGGCACCTAAAATAAATTATGCATGCTATTGGAGAACAAAATACCAACACAAAAGCAATGGATATTGGAGATTTTTGGATATAATGAATATGAATATACTAACACAGATGGCACAGCCCCCGGCGGCGCAGTGGCTAAACCGCTGAGCTGCTGAACTTGTTGATTGAAAAGTCACAGGTTCGAATTCAGGGAGCGACATGACCTCCCGCTGTTAGCCCTAGCTTCTGCCAACCTAGCAGTTCAAAAGCATGCAAATGTGAGTAGATCAATAGGTATCGCTCTGGCGGGAAGGTAATGGCACTCCATGTAGTCATGTCAGCCACATGACCTTGGAGGTGTCTACAGACAGCGCTGGCTCTTTGACTTAGAAATGGAGATGAACACCACCCTCCAGAGTTGGACATGACTGGACTTAATGCCAGGGGAAAACCTTAACCTTAATGATGAGTATGAATTAAGAGGGGAAGAAGAAAGCAACAGACTGGTTGCCAATAAAAGATTATATGACACAAGAAAAAATAAAATGGATAGTAGATTTGTAATGAGAATGGAAACAACCAATGTCCTCCAGGAGAAGTTAGAAGAGGAGAAAGCAGTATATAACCAGAAAGGGAACAACAAAGACAACCACAGTGGAGAAGATTGGAAGCCTAACTTTCGAAATCCCCTTTCCCATGTCCCCATCTCCAGCCCTACCTTACCCAGACCTTAGATAGGGTTTTCTTTTCTTTTCTATTCTATTTTCTCTTTTTCTTTATTAGTTATAGTGTAGGATATCCTCAGCCTATCAAACCTTCCTATCCAGTCACCCCAACTGTTTTTTTAAAAAATATATACTCATAAACAATATCTTTCTTAATAAAAAATGATTTGGAAAAAAGTATCCTCTTAAAACCAAGAAAATCTCTTCCATAAATCCTGAGCCAAAATATCACATGATAGTGTAATATTTCCCACAACTCTCTCTCTTTTAAAAAAATTAAAAATGGTCCTATGGATGTTAACCCAGAAATAAATATGCTATGTTTTTTCATAGGAAAAGTGTGCATGAAACTGTACTCTGTGCACACAAAATCATAACATCCAACATTTCACAGATTTAAAAAAAGAGGAGACATGTGGCCAGGTAACATGGAGCAGTCAGGATGGCAGAGGTTATTGATGTGGAAGGACACAGGAATTAGGAAAGGCTGCCACAGGTGGCTTTTGCCTGAGTTCATTGGGAAGGGCAAGATTCTGAGCCCTTCTGTCCTTCCATCCCCATTATGTTACCTTTTTTTGTGTCAGGAGCGACTTGAGAAACTGCATGTCACTCCTGGTGTGAGAGAATTGGCCGTCTGCAAGCATGTTGCCCAGGGGATGCCCGGATGTTTTGATGTTTTACCATCCTTGTGGGAGTCTTCTCTCATGTCCCTGCGTGGGGAGCTGGAGCTGACAGAGGGAGCTCATCCACTCTCTCCCTGCGACCTGTCAGTCTTGAGTACTGTCGGGACAAGAGTTTAACCCATTGCACCACTGGGGGCTCCTACTTTTGAATATGAACTTAGTTTGCCATCCTGAGCGCCTCCTCATCCCCCCCCCCCCCGAGTGATAGGGTGAGTTTTAAATAAAGTGTTGTTGTTGTTGTGGTTGTTGTTAAATGTTTCTATTCAAAATTCAGCCACCTTTAATACAGTACGAATTATTCTTTTGAAGGAATGCTAGGATTACATACTGCAGCTGGGACCATATATTTACTTGCATGCCAGATCCGTGAAAATCAATGAGATGCGCTAGCACATAAATCTGGTTTAGGATCATCGTTGTTCCTGGTGCAATAAATAGGATGATTTAAGGTTTGGATTTTGCTCCTAGTCAAGAAGAAATATGATATTTTTGGCTGCCAAAATATAGTTAAAATGAATGTGCTGAACTTTTTTTTAACTTTCCAGAACTTTTCAGTTGCACAGAACAGAAAGACAATTTAGGTTCAGGCACATCTGATGCAAAAGTGGATTGCGGATGATATATTTCTTTTCCAAAATACATATGTGGTTTTATCACTTTTGACCAATGATTTTATCCAGAAAATTGCTGGATAAAAGAATTAAACATGAAAGAAGAACAATAATAGGAAATAGAAAATAAAAAAGTAATGTTAACAGGCAAGCTTCGGCCCTCCAGGTGTTTTGGGCTCCAACTCCCACAATTCCTAATTGCCTACTGGCTGTTAGGGATTGTGGGAGTTGGAGTGCAAAACACCTGGAGGGCCAAAGCTTGCCCATGCCTGATAACCTATATAAACACTAGGTTTGGCTCTGGTTTATTCTTTGGAGTCCTTGTTTCTTTCTTTTAATTTTATTATTATGGTATATAAAATAAGTCAGTACAGAGCCCCCAGTGGTGCAGTGGGTTAAACCCCTGTGCTGACAGGACTGAAGACTGACAGGTCGCAGGTTCGAATCCGGGGAGAGGCGGATGAGCTCCCTCTACCACCTGCAGCTCCTCATGCGGGGACATGAGAGAATCCTCCCACAAGGAAGATAAAACATCAAATCATCCGGGCGTCCCCTGGGCAACGTCCTTGCAGATGGCCAATTCTCTCACACCAGAAACGACTTGCAGTTTCTCAGGTCGCTCCTGACACGACAAAAAAAAGTACAATTGAAATATATTTATAATACACTATATTTATAATTTCCTTTTAAAACCTACTATAAATTCCACTCTTGACTATATTTCTATCATTCACTTTAGTGCTTCCCTCTCCCTGAGCAACAACTTCTTATATTCTTTGTCCAAAATTTAATTTCCTCTTATGGAGGTAATTCTCCATCCTTCTTTTAAAATCCTTTTCCAATAAATTTCCCCAAACTTCACCAAATTTTCCATATTCCTCTTTTAACTTTTTTATTAAATGTCTACTTATATTTTTTTCCAATTTCCATAATTCCTTATACCATGATTCTTCAATTTGTATATTTATTTCCCTTTTAAAATTACTTGCTATAAGTAATCTTACTACTGTTAATAGGTTGGATATTTCATCTTTTTCACCTTTTTTCAATTGTTTCCAGAAGGTAAATTAGCATTTAATAGCCTTGCAGCTTCAAAGCCTGGTTGATTGCTGCCTGGGGGATCTTGAAGACATTCACAGATATATATAAATCTTGGACCTTAAGATCGTCTGGGGGGGGGGGCTGCTCTTGTTACTGACTTCGTCACAAGTACATTTGGCAGAGATGAGTAACAGGGCCTTCTCGATGATGGCCCCTTGGCCACTTGCCCAGTTTCCARCAGACCTACAACCCCTGAGGATGCTTGACATAGATGTGGGCGAAACGTCAGGAGAGAATGCTTCTGGCACATGGCCATACAGCCCAGAAAACTCACGGCAACCCAATATTGTTCTTCCCCCCCCCCTCTTTAATTTCGACTATTTCGACATTTTACTAGTTATTCCTTTCCCATTTTTATGTTCTTCCACATCTCTTCCACTTTGAACTATTTGTCCTTGTTTCCAAGTGTAGTTTTGGAGGGAATGAGAGCGGCGCCTCTGGAGCGCCCCCTGTAGGGAACTGTAGGGAGAGAGGTGAGGCTTACGTCACGCCGAGGCCACGCCCCCTCCGCGGAGGAAGCCCCGCCCCCTTTTGCTTCCCCTTCTCTGGCCGAAAGGTCTATTAATAGCATGACGTCAGCCCGGGGACTCGTGGCCAGAGTAAATACCGACGGCGGGCGCGCGCCTATATAAAGGGAGTGATGCAACGTTGCCGGAGCCTCAGAGTGAGGAGAGCGCGGAGGGAGGAAGAAGGACGGAAGAGCGGGAAGGAAGGAGGGCGCCCGGAAAGCCGGTCTTTCTGTCTCCCGTTCCCCAAACTTCTCTTCTCTTCCTCTGGCTATCTTCGCTACTCTTTCCTCCGCCAAAACAACCTGGAAAAGAGAAAAGAGCGGCAGGAGAGTGACAGGTAAGCGGGGAAATCAGGGGAAGACAGCCTACACTGCGGAATTAACGCAGTTTGACACCGCTTTAATTCCCATGGTGTAGCGGAAGGTCTAATTTGTTGACAATCCTTAACAAGGAAAGGCTAGCGACCCCGTGAAATAATACTCAGGAGCGCATGCAGTTAGAGCGGTGTCAAACTGGGTTAAGTCCGTCGTGTGGATGTGAACCTTTCCCTGTTACCTCTCTCCCATACTTTTGGGTCCAAAGCCCCTTTTCAAAGTTGTCAGGGGTGGGTCAGAAAAGGCAAGGCAGCAAAGTTCTTGTTTCGGATCGATCTCGCTTCAGTTTCTTAACTGAAAGTAAAAGTTCATTCATCGCAAGGAAGAGTTCGAAGCGGCGGCGGAAAAAGAGAGAGAGGGAAACCTTCAGCCATAGAAACCCCGCTTCGTGTCGGATTTCCTTCCTCTTGGGTTGTTGTAGGTTTTCCGGCCTATATGGCCATGTTCTAGAAGCATTCTCTCCTGACGTTTCGCCTGCATCTATGGCAAGCATCCGGAGGAAACGTCAGGAGAGAATGCTTCCAGAACATGGCCATATAGCCCGGAAAACCTACAACAACCCAGTGATTCCAGCCACGAAAGCCTTCGACAAGACATCCCTCTCTTTTCCAATTCCTTGCTATAAGCATTCTTGCTATTGGTAATAAGTTTGTTATCGCATCTTTGTCCTAGTTTTCCAATTGTTTATTACTATATAATGATAATAAAGCTATACTAGGACTTCTTTATGTTTTAATGTTCATTATATCTTCTATTTCTCTCAATACTTTCCCCCCAAAAATTATTTACATGTTTATTTTCCCACCACTTATATATATATGTTCCTGATTCTTGGCATCCTCTCCAGCAATTTTTTGAGTAGTTTTTATTTATATTTGGTATTCTTACTGGTTCAATTCCATCGTTGGAGTTCAGATTGCGCTTTGATTGTAGGTGAACTATAAATCCCAGTAACTACAACTCCCAAATGTCAAGGTCTATTTTCCCCAAACTCCATCTGTGTTCGTATTTGGCCGTATGGAATATTCATGCCAGGTTTGGTTCAGATCCATCATTGTTTGAGTCCACAGTGGTCTCTGGATGTAGGTGAACTACAACTCCCAAACTCAAGGTCAATGTCCACCAAACCCTTCCAGTATTTCCTGTCAGTCATGGGAGTTCTGTGTGCCAAGTTTGGTTCAATTCCATTGTTGGTGGAGTTCAAAATGCTCTTTGATTGTAGGTGAACTATAAATCCTGGCAACTACAACTCCCAAATGACAAAATCAATCCCCAATGAATCCCAACAGTATTCAAATTTGGGCATATTGGGTATTTGTGCCAAATTTTGTCCAGTAAATGAAAATGCATCCTGCATATCTGATATTTACCTTACTTTACCTCATAACAGTAACAAAATGACAGTTGTGAAGTAGCAATTAAAATAATTTTATGGTTGGGGGTCATCACAACATGAGGAACTGTATTCAGGGGTCACGGCATTAGGAAGGCTGAGAAACACTATTTTTATCCTTTTATGTAAGTATAATAATTTGATTTTTCAATTTTGGGGAAACAAGCCTATATTGAATTCCATTTTGAATCCCTCTATGTTGTAAAGACGTCATTTGTATTGTTTTTCTCATTGTTGTGAGCCACTTTGAGTCTCCTTTAAGAGAGGAAATTGAGATATATAAACCATTATTATTAGTTACACAATGCACCGCTTTTCCTCTCCTAAAGGAGACTTGCCATTCTGTAATAGAGTGCGTCTACACCAAAATTAATGCACTCCAGGCTGCCTTGTCACAATGTTAATTCAGGGAATCATGGGAGTTCTAGTTTTCCAAGATCTTTAGCTTTCTCTTGGTGCCTAGTACCATTCATTCTATACTGTATTTCCTTAAGTTAAGCTTCTGTTTCAGATTTTAAAAGAAACACTCAACTTTTGAAACTTTTGGACAAAGCGAGAGTGCGCTTCCGCCGGTCGCCGGTAGATGGCGCGCTAAGAGGCGGCAAGAGTCGTTCTCTCTCTTTGCATGGCTTCAGATTCGACCTGTCAAAAGTTTTTTGTTATATCAGTGGTTCTCAACCTGTGGGTCCCCAGGTGTTTTAGTCTACAACTCCCAGAATTCCCAGCCAGTTTACCAGCTGTTAGGATTTCTGGGAGTTGAAGGCCAAAACATCTGGGGACCCACAGGTTGAGAACCACTGTATTATATGTATATACTAGGTTGGCTATCCAGTGTTGCCCGGGTTATTTGAAGAAGTCCATTTTATTCATTTTACAAAATGCATGAGGTTGTGTGTGAACCACAACTCACATGCCAGATAAACCACCTGAAACTCCACCAGTAGTTTGTCATGTTGAGAAAGTTTGCTCTATAACAGTGGTTCTCACCTGTGGGTCCCCAGATGTTTTGGCCTTCAATCCCAGAAATCCTAACAGCTGGTAAACTGGCTGGGATTTCTGGGAGTTGTAGGCCAAAACACCTGGACACCCACAGGTTGAGAACATGCATCATAGGTGGGGTTTAGTGTGCTCTCTGGCTGTCGGGTAAACTACAAGTCCCACTCTGGTGAGTCAGTCCCCTCAAGCCCCTCCAGTAGGTTGAGTTAGTCATGGGGGTTTGGTCCAAGTCCATCATCAGTGGAGGTCACAATTTCTCTGGTTGTGGGCGAACTACAACTCCCAGAAAGGTCAGTTCCCCCCAAACACCTCCAGTATTCAAATTGGAGCGTATCATGTATGCGTGCCAAGTTTGGTCCAGATTCATCGGCTTTTGGGTTCACAGTGCTCTCTGGATGTAGATGAACTACAACTCCCCCAAATCATGGTGAATTTTCTCCAAAAGCCTCCAGTATTTTTTGCTGGTCATGGGAATCTGTGTACCACGTTTGGTCTGATTCCCTTTTTGATGGAGTTCATAGTGCTCTTTGATTGTAGATGAACTATAAATCCCAGTACCTACAACATCCCCCAAAACTCACCAATATTCCAGTTTGGGCATACCATGTGTGTGTGCTGAGTTTGGTCAAGATCCATAATTGTTTGGATTCACAGTTCTCTCTGGATGTAGGTGAACTACAACTCCTATAAATCTGCCCAAAGACCACCAGTATTTTTTGTTGGTCATGAGGGTTCTGTTTGTCTCAAGGGTCACCATAATTCGGGAGTGACTTGAATTTGCTCAATGATAAGGGAGCGAGTTTAGAAGCAAACAAGATATAATACAGAGTTGACTAATTGATAGGACTGTTTGCTACAGAACTGAAATTTGGATGTTTGGACTGTATATCATCAGCTTTCTCCCTCAAAGTGGGGCTTTTGTGGGTTTGCGTGGAGGACAAAGAGAGCTGACTCATCAAGGGAGGTATTGTTGTTCGCAATCAATAGCTTGTTGGAAATGAAAGAAGCCTCATGTGAAGGGAAGGGGAAGGTTTCCATCTATAGGTTTTGTTTGCATAAAGGTGAGTCATAATGAGGTGGGTAAATCCAGGGTTTGCTCCTTTCTAGTCATGATGACTTGGATGTTAAGTAGCACTCAGTCAAATGGGATTTGCTCCTCAATTTAAGCTGGTACTTTACTGCTACTCTAAAGCAGAGTTTGCCTGAAAGTGATTTGCTGTGAATTTTCTGGGCTGTATGGCCATGTTCCAGAAGCATTCTCTTCTGATGTTTCACCCACATCTATGGCAAGCATCCTCAGAGGTTGTGAGGTCTGTTAGAAACTAGGTAAGGGAGGTTTATATATCTGTGGAATATCCACCAGTTTTCCGCAGGCAGCCAGGCTTTGAAGCTACAAGGCCATTAAATGCTAATCAAAGGTTTTTATGGCCGGAATCACTGGGTTACTGTGGGTTTTCCGGGCTGTATGGTCATGTTCCAGAAGCATTTTCTTCTGATGTTTCACCCACAACTATGGCAGGCATCCTCAGAGGTTGTGAAGTTTGTTGGAAACTAGGCAAGCGAGGTTTATATATCTGTGGAATGTCCACCGGTTTCCTCCAGGCAGCAATCAGCCAGGCTTTGAAGTTACAAGGCCATTAAATGCTAATCTAAAGTTTTCATGTCCGGAATCACTGGGTTACTGTGTGTTTTCTGGGCTGTTTGGCTCTGTTCCAGAAGCATTCTCTCCTGACGTTTTGCCCACATCTATGGGCTCATCCACATAGCCCTATATCCCAGGATATCAAGGTAAAAAATCCCACATTATCCGAGTGTGGACTCAAATAACTCAGTTCAAAGAGGATATTGTGGGATTTTCTGCCTTGATATTTTTTGAATATAGAGCTATGTGGAAGGGCCCTATGGCAGACATCCTCAGAGTTTGTGAGGTCTATTGGAAACTAGTCAAGTGAGGTTTATATATCTGTGGAATGTCCAGGGTGGGAGAATGGACTCTTGTCTGCTTGAGGCAAGTGTAAATTTTGCAATTGGCCACCTTGATTAGCATTGAATGGCCTTGCACCTTCAAAGCCTGGGTGTTTCCTGCCTGGAGGAATCCTTTGTTGGGAAATGTTCTCTAGCCTTAATTGTTTCTTGTCTGGATTTCCCAGTTTCATGAGTATTGTTCTTTATTTACTGTTATGATTTTTGAGGTTTTTTTTAATACTAGTAGCCAGATTTTGTTCATTTTCACGGTTTCCTTCTTTCTGTCGAAAATGTCCATATGGTTGTGTATTTCAATGACTTCTCTGTGTAGTCTGACATGGTGGTTGTTAGAGAGGTCCAGCATTTCTGTGTTCTCAGATAATATGCTGTGTCTAGGTTGGTTCACCAAGTGCTCTGCTATGACTGACTTCTCCCGCTGAATTAGTCTGCAGTGCCTTTCATGTTCTTTGATTTATGTTTGGGCAATACTGCTGTGTTTGGTGGTCCCTATGTAGACTTGTCCACCACGGCATGGAACACGGTAGACTCCTGCAGAGGTGAGAGGATCCCTCTTGTTGGATTTTGTTGGATTTTCTTAGTGGGTCTGTAGATAGTTTGTAGGCTGTGTTTCTTCATTAGCTTCCCTATGTGGTCAGTGGTTCCTTTGAAGTATGGTAATAACACTTTTGTCTGAAAGGCTAACAAGTTGTATTTGGCACGTGCTTTTGTGGACTGCAGCCCAGAAGTGGCTGCAGTCCAAGGAAACTCATGCCTAATCAAAGACTAACAGGGCTACTTTAAATGTGTTTGAAGATTAGATTCACTGCACAATCCCAGCAGTACATATTTACTTGGCAATAAGTACCTCTGCGGACTCGGAATGCACATGTCTCGGTTGGCAGCCTTCTTTCTTTTCCTCAAATGGTACCATAACACATATTTACAGAGAGAATAATCTCATCCATTTGGGTGAAATTTGCTTTCAGGCGAATTGCATATGAGGCTGTAGCCAAAACAAGATATCGTCAGAGAGAAAATGTACAAGGAGTAAGAGAAACAGCCCAAAGGGCCCTTCTAAATCCAAATTTAGATCAATCCAATTGAAATCAATGGCCAACTGAGGCCCTAAGTGATTTTAGTGGGTCAGCTCTAAGTATGACAAAACTTGGATCCAACACAGAAGTATGATTAGAATTGAGTTTCATTATCAACTAATTTTTGTTCATACACGTAATAAATAAAGAGTATATAAATATGTTTTGTTGAAGGCTTTCATGGCCAGAATCATTGGATTGCTGTGGTCTGCCTGGCCACGTTCCAGAAGCATTCTCTCCTGATGTTTTGCCCACATATATGGTAGGCATCCTCAGAAGTTGTGAGGTCTGTTGGAAACTAGGTATGTGGGGGTTATATATCTGGAATGTCCAGGGTGGGAGAAAGAACTCTTGTCTGTTCGAGGCAAGTGTGAATGTTGCAACTGGCCAGCTTGATTAGCACTGAATGGCCTTGCAGCTTCAAAGCCTGGCTGCTTCCTGTCAATTGCAGCATTCACACTTGCCTTAAAGAGACAAGAGGTTTTTCTCCCACCCTGGACATCCCACAGAAATATAAACCTCACTTGCCTAGTTTCCAAAAGACCTCACAATCTTTGTGGATGCCTGCCATAGATGTGGGCAAAATTTCAGGTGAGAATGCTTCTGAAACATGGCCATACAGCCCGGAAAACTCACAACAACCCAGTATATAAATAAACTGCTTGGAAAAGTAGGGGGTTTTGCCTTTCTTCATAGTATCAACAACTGGCAATTTCGAAAGCAGCTGATAAATACAGCCAAATCCACAATGTCAGAAATAACGAAAGGTCACTTTAAATTCAGGGTGGTTCTGAACTTGAGTTGTAGATTAAACTTGTGGTTGAACAGGTCTTGTTGCATCAGCAGGAAGGGAGAGTAAAAAACAAAGCTCGGTTTCATTGTCCTAAAATGCCTTTCAGTTTTGGACCAAGAGAGAAAGAGAAGAATCGAAGGCACTTGAAGAGTTGGTCAAGGTGCCTTGTTCTGTTTTGGGGGCAAGGTTGAAACTGTTCGTACCACGTTAGTTGAAAGTGGGTCGGGTTTTCAAGAAATGTTGTCTGTATGATTGCCTACCAGGCCTGAGTGAACCCTAGGGCATCTTTCTGGGACAGAAATATAAGAGGAAAATATTAAAATATAACACACATGGCACTACAGCAGAATGTTGCAGTTTAGGCAGTTCCTTCTCTCAGTCTGTGCTGTCTTTCAGGATAGTCAATTCCTTTCTCTGTTTAGCTTGTCCTTCTTACCTTCTTCATCCTCTTCCAACAGTCAGGCAGCATTTCATGGCTTCTGATCATCATTGGACTCACTACCACGAATTCTGACAGAAGTCTATTGTGATATCTCCCTTGAGTGTAAATCAGGCATGGGCAAACTTGGGCCCTCCAGGTGTTTTGGACTAACAGCTTGGTAGGTAATAGCCAGAATTGTGGGAGTTGAAGCCCAAAACACCTGGAGATCCCAAGTTTGCCCATGCCTGCCCTAGATAATTGATGTTTAAGGACTCTGTGTCACTTGACAGTAAAATATATACAATGCTAATAGATGCAGATGGGTGCACAATACGGGACTTGAAAAGTAGATGGGAAATGGAGTTACACATTACAGAACAAGATATGAGACGAGTGGTAGAGACAATAGGAACGACAAGGAATTCAAAAGTAAGAGAAATGAGGAGGAAAATATCACATAAGTGGTATTGTACACCCTGTCAGTTAGTGTATTGGGTTGTTGTAGGTTTTTCCGGGCTATATGGCCATGTTCTAGAGGCATTCTCTCCTGACGTTTTGCCTGCATCTATGGCAAGCATCCTCAGAGGCAGTGAGGTCTGTTGGAAGTCGGAAAATGGGTTTATATATCTGTGGAAGGACCAGGGTCAGGCGCTTCCAGGCCATTGAATGCAAATCAAGGTGATCAGCTGAAACATTACTCTGGTCATTCCACAGATATATAAACCCATTTTTCCTACTTCCAACAGACCTCACTACCTCTGAGGATGCTTGCCATAGATGCAGGCGAAACGTCAGGAGAAAAATTGCCTCCAGAACATGGCCATATAGCCCGGAAAAACCTACAACAACCCAGTTATAGCATTGAGCCTTCGACAATAGTTAGTGTATTATTATAAAAAGGGGAGCAGTCATGGATGTCAACAGAAAGGGCAGTTTATGCACATGATATGGGAATGTGAACAGGTACAATACTTCTGGCAGACTATACAAAATGCGTCAATCCAAATCTTAGGAATCGATTGGGTGATAACAAAAGAAATGGTGGTCTTAGTACAAAGAGAGGGAATGGGAAATTACAAGGAAGCAATAATTGAGTGCACACAAGCAGTGATAGTATTGGGATGGAAAGACAAATCAAAGTGGACAGTAAATAAATGGTATCTGTATATGGTGGGCCAAATGGAATTTGAAATTATGGGTGTAAAATTAAATGATTCAAAAGGTAAGGAAAATAGAATGCTAGAAGATGAAGAAAGATGGAACCGGGTCAAGAATTATATTATGTATAACCGTAGAGATCAGGCCATAAGAGATAAGATAGAAATGTAACTTGGGGACTGCCTGTATATTTCATCTGAAGAGGTGCTACATATGTAACACATTTGTTACATGTACCTTGATAAAAGAAAACAAAGTCTCTTAAAATCCCTATTTGCTTTCCTAGTTTTGGATTTGTCTTGCTCTCCAATTTACCAGTGCAAAAGGGTGTAACTTGTACTGGCGCATGCAACCCTAATTAACTCTCATCTAACTAACAATCACCTGAAGCAAAAAGCTCTGCCGTAAATCAGATCTAGTATGACAGCATCATCTGCGCACAAAGATGCCCAAAGGCAATAGTTGCCTTATCTCTGTGAAGCTCACTTTGAAAGCTTTTGCTGTAATGTGGTTTTGCAGATATTTACTTCTCCTTTCAATATTTCAACATCAACTGAAGGAAGCAAATGTGGTGTGGATGTGAACACAATCCCTGTTTCCCTTGCAAAAAGAATGGCAAAGCAGATGGATTTCAGTCTGAGAATAGGGGGAAAATGTGTAGATGGGGAAAATGGATAGTTTTCACCCTAGATCCTAAGACTGGGGTTCATGCACAGCTGTGCCAGTGTCTCATTTCCAGAAGATGGACTATATGAGTATTAGGGACATCGATATAACATACCGCATCTGGTACTGACAAGTTACATCTTATACTGAGCTATTTTGTAATGGGATTAATTCATTAGGAGCCCCGGTGGCGCAATGGGTTGAACTCTTGTGCCAAATGATGGACAGGTCAGAGGTTGAAATCAGGGGAGAATGCGGATGAGCTCCCTCTGTCAGCTCCAGCTCCCCATGCAGGGACATGAGAGAAGGATCATAAAACATCAAAAACATCCAGGCGTCCCTGGGCAACATCCTTGCAGACGGCCAATTCTCACATCAGAAGCAACTTGCAGCTTTTCAAGTCGCCCCTGACACGCACACACACAGAAAAGTCATTTTATTAGATGTCAGTATTACACAAAGTATATATTAATAAAAGCTTTGCATAGCAGAAGGAAGGGTTAACTCGTGTGTGTGTGTGTGTGTGTGTAATGTGTATCGCTGCAGTTATACTAAAAACATGTATCTGTTCCAACTTCCTATCTTGTTCATAACTTGGGGACTGCCTGTACATAACTACATCCATTTAAACAATATATTATCATGTGCATTGAAATGTAGGTCAGAAGGGCCAGAACAATTCCATGTTGAGATATTTTACTTTACTTAATCGAGCCATAATTGAGAATTAATGGTGCTTTGGCAATTTTTTTTGCCTTGGTCGTCTTAAACTTCAGACATACTAATTGTGGATTTTGTTCCCCTTTCAGCAAAATGATGCTCCAACACCCCGGTCAGCTGTCTGCTTCAGAAGTCAGTGCCTCTGCAATAGTTCCATGCTTATCTTCTGCAGTCTCACTGGGTTTTGAAGACTTCACAAATCTAACTCCGCTGGTGAAAGAAGAATTGAGGTTTGCCATCCAGAATAAGTGCCTGTCCCACAGGATGCCCTCCACGCTGGACACAGTGATGGTTTCTGACCACCCTGGTGAAATGTCCATATTGAAAGCGGAGGTAATCCATTTTGCATTGTTGCTTACTAATGGCATTTAGGGATAAAAACATGGTGGCCTTGGATTGCAACTCCCATAAACCCCGACCTGAACAACATGTGACTAATGACCAAGGAGTACAGAAGGTGTGGTGCAGAGGTTTCAGTACTGGACCATAGGAGTCTGCCATGGTGCAATGGGTTAAACCATTGTGCCGGCAGGATTGCTGACCCAAAGGTCGGTGGTTCAAATCTGAGGAGCGGGGTGGGCTCCAGTTTGTCAGCTCCAGCTTCTCAGGTGGGGACATAAGAGAAGCCTCCCACAGGATGGTAAAACATCCAGGCGTCCCCTGGACAACATCCTTGCAGACGGCCAATTCTCTCACACAAGAAGCAACTTGAGGTTTCTCAAGTTGCTCCTGACATGAAAAAAAAATACTTGACCAGAGTTCTGGGAAACTTAAAGTCTCATCAATGAAAACCAACCCACTCAGCCTAACAGGAAGGCAATAGTCAACTCCCCCTAAATAAAGCCTGCCAGAAAAGCACTATGCTACCATTGCTATAAATTGAAATTGATTTGAAGCTAAATAACAACAATAAACAAGGTGAAAAGTATCTGAAAACCACATAATGACTATTATTAATTTATGTATTTATAGTCCACTTTTTATCAAGTTTGAGACTTAGTGGCCCACACTTATAATAATAATAATAATAATAATAATATAATGCACTTTATTTATATTCCGCTTTATCTCCCTGGAGAGGGACTCAGAGCAGATTCCTGTACATCTAAGGCAAACATTCAATGGCATTTTACACAAACAACAATGTACAATAGACAGATAAATTAAAGGCCTTCCCCTTTTCCATTTTCAGCATTTGGAGGCACTGCTCAACTTTCGGCCATTGGAAGGTGCTCTTGTTCCATTTTCCATGCCAAAGGAGCCTGCTGTCCATAGATATCACCGATCTTTTTGTCAGCATGTCTGCATGGGGCACCCTTTTACCTTCCTGGCAAGGCTGTACCTATTGATCTACTCGCATTGCACGCTTTCGAACTGTTAGGTGGGCAGAAGCTAGGAATGTCGAGAACTCACCCTGACACGTGACTTCGAACTGTCGAACCTCCACTTAGCAGTCTTTCCTGCAGCTAGTGGCTTGAACTGCTGTGCTACCACGGCCCTATATAACAGCAATAATAATAATAATAATGACAACAAAAGAAAAAAATGGTCCTATAATTAAATGTGTTATTATTGTTAAATAAATTGGCTAACACTACAAATCATTCAATACGTAAATTAAAACCCAGAACATATAAACGTTAGAATAGAAGTAAACACAGGACTTATTAAAATACATAGTTAAAACCAAAAAAAGCCATTAAAAAACCTGTTAAACCACATAAAATACAGTACCTTCTGGTTCAATCTCAAAACCTTTATTCTTATTCTTGGGTTTTTCTAGTGTGCGCCTCCAGAAGATGAAAGGAAAAGACGAAGAAGAGAAAGAAACAAGATTGCCGCAGCCAAGTGTCGAAACAAAAAGAAGGAAAAAACTGATTGTCTCCAGAAAGTAAGTTCATGACCTCTTTTCATTGTTGTCTGGCCAAAGAAGACAATGCGATAGAAAGTGAGGAAAGTGAGGCCTGTTGGTTGCACCTGACCCATCAAGACTTCAAAGACAACCCCAAAATTCCTGGAATCTGTTAATTTTCTGGAGCAAGACATTACCTGCAATTTTGCTGCAAAATAACAAAAACAAATCTAGCAGTTCTAGGTGATGTAAATCCCACAAAAAAACCTGCTAGTTTATAGCCAAACTGTTGTGGCCCAAATGTAGGGTGAGTGCAAAAATCTCACTGGTGGATCCCCCAGTGACACAATGGGTTAGACTGTTGTGCCAGCAGGACTGCTGACTGAAAGGTCAGTGGTTCGAATCTGGGGAGCAGGGTGAGCTCCCATCTGTCAGCTCCAGCTCCCCATGCAGGGACATGAGAGAAGTCACCCACAGGATGGTAAAACATGCAGGCATCCCCTGGGCAACATCCTTGCAGACAGCAAATTCTCTCACACCAGAAGCAACTTGCAGTTTCTCAAGTTGTTCTTCACACACAAAAAAGTTGCATATCCCTATAACACAGGAGTGGCAACTGTGGAAAGGTAGGGGGACACATTTCTCTCCCCAGCAAACCTTGAAGGGCAACCCATGTTGCTGCCACAAAATCTATTTTTTCTAACTCAAGACACAAGGAAAATATTTGCATCCTGTTTTGGGATCAAGTAGAGTTGTTTCTTTACTGTTTCCGTAAAGGCCTCTCTTTGAGTTAAATTGGCTCTAACCTTATAAAATAATATGTTTTCCTGTGGAGGCATAGGGAGCATTCAAACATGGTGGAAGTGCTCTCTACATTCCTTAGAGAGTTTTGGGGAGCATTTGGGAGTAATTAATTATTTGTACTTTCAGGGCATGCCCCCTTGCTCGAATAGGGCATTCAGTTAAAACAGGCTGCACATTTTCCTGAGTTGTACTATTGAGGAGCTTCCCAAAGAAGAAGCAAATTCCTTCCTCCACAAAACCTGTAAAAACCACTATATTAAGATGTGTCACTAACAGGATGCTGGTCAAGGTTGTACACAGAATCATTATCATGATTGCTTAACCTTAACCAAAAGTATTACCTGACCTTCAATAATCCATTTCCTGAAAAACAGTGATGTGAATTTTCCAAAAGCAAAACATTAAGATTCAGTTTTTACAGATCAGTTTTTATACATTCCCAAAATGTATGAAAACTCAAGCTTAATATTTTGCTTTGGGAAAATTCACATCACTGGAGTTTTGTTTTGCCTTAAATGTTAGACCTGTTTCTGGGTATATTTGATTCCAAAAATGGAACTGGTTTACGAAGGGGTTATCAAATCAAACAGCCCCTAAGAAGCATTGAATTAGATTCTGGATGCACACCAGCTCTCTTGTCTAAAACTTCCACTTTTGTATTGACTTCCTTCTTCTGTGGTTAGGAATCAGAAAAGCTGGAAACCATCAATGCGGAACTGAAAGCTCAGATTGAGGAGCTGAAGAACGAGAAGCAGCACTTGATCTACATGCTCAACCTCCACCGGCCCACATGCATCGTCCGGGCTCAGAACGGTCGGACGCCGGAGGACGAGAGAAACCTCTTCATCCAACAGATCAAGGAAGGAACTTTGCAAGGCTGAGCAGCAATGGCCAGTAAAACCGAGGTGCCCTTAGGGCAGGCCATTAAACACCAAAGAAATCCAACACAGCAGCCTAGGCCAGAAGCCATAGGGAAGCTATCTTGGTATTTGTGGCCTCCTGTTAGCCGAGAAAAGGCCAAGGAGGCGACATGCAGCTAAGAAGAAAAGACTGTGTTAGCTTTGCTGTAGTTCTGCTTCTTGAAAGACTCAACAGGGGGGAAGAGAGCCACTGCCTTCGCTTCAGGTTTAAGTATCTGCCATAGTTGCTATTACTAGAAGTCATACTCACAACAACTACAGACTTGTTGAGCTCTTCCTGGCATGTGGTACTTGCACTTGAGTTATTTCTGGTAGGAGACCAGGATTCCCAAGTGAGGCACGCATTGAGTAGACAACCAGGGCGAATGGGCCCCACTCCGGTCGAAGTATAGGAAGTGTAGACACAGTGGGTTGTTTGCATTTGCTCACTCCACTTTCGGAAAAAAAGTAGTTTGCAATTTCCAGAATGCTGCTTTCAGTTCCGAGAGGCATTGAAAATATGTGTAGTGAAGAAATGATAATGTTTCTGCAACCTAGTGCAATGTTTTGAGCTGACTCTTGCACTCTTATTTTTTGTTGCCAATTTTTACAGAAGCCCTTCCGTGGGTTTTTTGGATGACTCACGGTAGAGGCAAATTTGGGGATAACGTAAGTTTTTTGCAGAAGTTCTCATTGAGTGGTGTATACTAAGTTTGAACATTACCCCCTTCCTTCTGCCTCCTTTTCAGAAATAGGGGGAATTCCCCTTTGAGAACGCAATTTGTGAGTCATGCATCACAGTATCCAAAAGAAGCTTTACAGTATAACATAAACATGATGATAAATATAGACTTGAATATTCTCTTTGATGTATAGTTTGGCATATATTAGACCCGTCACTTGCAAATCTTTTTTTTTCTTGGCACCTCCTTTTTTCCAAGCAAGAAACTGTGATGGCTATACACTTCCCTATTACTAATCAGCATGTGTGTATTGGCATATATACTTATGGTATGCCATATTACTCAGACACTAACTTTATGACTATGCTAGGAAAAATGAAGACGAAGTAGCCAAACTGTCAGATCTAAGACCACAGTTGGAAGGAATATCTTCTTATATCATTGTGCAGGCAGTCGTTGTAGTGTAGTCAAGGAAGGGCCTTTCCAGACAGGCCCTGTATTCCAGGATCAGATCCCAGGTGTTCTGGGGAGATGTTGACAAGCTAGAATATGTCCAGAGGAGGGCGACTCAAATGATCAAAGGTCTGAAGAACAAGCCCTATGAGGAGCGACTTAAAGACCAGGGCATGTTTAGCCTGCAGAAGAGAAGGCTGAGAGAAGACATGATATCCATGTATAAATATGTGAGAGGAAATCATAGGGGAGAGGGAGCAAGCTTGTTTTCTGTTTTCCTGGAGACTAGGATGAGGAATAATGGTTTCAAACTACAGGAAAGGAGATTCCACCTGAACATGAGGAAGAACTTCCTGACTATGAGAGCTGTTCAGCAGTGGAACTCTCTGCCCCAGAGTGTGATGGAGGCTCCTTCTTTGGAGGCTTTTAAACAGAGGCTAAATGGCCATCTGTTGGGGGTGCTTTAAATGCGATTTTCTGGCTTCTTGGTAGGGGGTTGGACTGGTTGGCCCATGAGGTCTCTTCCAACTCAATAATTCTGTGATGCTATGTTATTATTATGTTGTTATCTGGCAGATTATCTGGCAGCACAGATTCATATAATCCAGTTTAAAGCAGAAAACCTGGAATTAGATCCTGGGATATAAGGCCTGTCTGGAAGGGCCCAAAGTGTTAAGGTATGACTGGGAAAACCTACAAGTTTGGTATCCTTTACATACTAATTGATTGATTCCAAAAATGCAGATCAGGGCTTTACTTTTTTAAATGGATGGAGAAATTCAAGATATTACAGCCATTCTTACTCAGCAGGGCTATCTGGTGCTTCCTACGAAGACATTAATATTAGTGTTCCACATGTATTTCTAAACAAAGGACAAAAATTAAAAAGAGCAAAAGACATTGAACAGAAACAAGTTCCTTGCTATGGTGGATCCAGTATTATATCCATAAAGGGCAATGCTTCAGTCTGGATGTCTACTGATTGAAAAGAACCAATCTTCAGTTAGTATGTCCAACGATATAAAAAATACACTTTTCCTTAAGAGGTTTGGCAAAGTTTAACAAGGTTTAGTTTTGAAGAATTTAAATTTTGGATTTCAGATGTTGAAAGCTTTAAAAAGCCTGGGTTGTTGTGAATTTTCCAGGCTATATGGCCATGTTCCAGAAGAATTCTCTCCTGACATTTCACCTGCATCTATGACAGGCATCTTCAGAGGTGGCTCACAACTGGAACACCTCACAACTGGAACATGGCCATACAGCCCGGAAAACGCACAACAACCCAGTGATTCTGGCCATGAAAACCTACTCTGTCTGAAATAAACTCCATCTGGAATTTAAATACTGAATTTTAATACCCTGAAGAAGCTTTAGAATATTAATTTCTGTGTGTCAGATTCCTATGTGCAAAACCAAGTGTAAGAAAACTGCCTTTTCTGTTATGTTATGAAGTCATTTTTATTTTTAAATTTTTCAGCCGCTTAAGGAAAGGGCCCGAGGCTGTTAGGAATTGTGGGAGTTGAAGTCCAAAACACCCTGAGGGCCAAAGTTTGCCCATGCCTGCTTTAAAATTACTGGCCCAATCAGTCGGGTCGAAAGAAGTGTATGAAGAAAGCAATGGTGGTTCCAAGTATTTTGCAGTGTTACAATTAACTCAGCCACAAACACACACGATACCTCAGAAAAGTAGCATCAGAAACCTGGATTCTCAAATATGATGAAGTACACTTCAGCTTGCTACCTGTTATTTTTTGCTTTGATGTTTTACATTATGCAACAGAGCTCTGCAAACTTGGATATAGTGCAATGTCTATGTTTTGAATGTGTAAACGTCATGTAAACAAACAAAAAAAGGGAAGGAAATGGGCCAAATTCTGTCTCGCTAGAGTGTGATTTTTCTTCCTGCAAATTAAATCCACTCTGCTGTTGGCGATCTCCTTGTGTCATGTCAGAATGACATTTTGGTGACATTTTGAGTATGCAATGAATGGGGGTGGTGGAAGGATAACTTGCCATATAACTATAAGTGTGATTTGCTCAATAGAAATAATTATGCAGGTTGAGTATCTCTTATACTAACTGCTTGATATCAGAAGTGCTTTGGTTTTCAAATTTTTAAAATACCTATATTTTCATGTACATCCATAGGAGCCCCTGCAAAGGGTTAAACCCTTGTCCCGGCAGGACTAAAGACCAACAGGTCGGAGGTTTCGAATCTGGGGAGAGCGTGGATGAGCTTCCTCTGTCAACTCCAGCTCCCCATGCAGGGACATGAGAGAAGCCACCCAGAATGACAGTAAACATCAAACATCTGGGCGTTCCCTGGGCAATGTCCTTCCAGACAGCCAATTCTCTCACACCAGAAGCAACTTGCAGTTGCTCAAGTTGCTCCTGACGCGAAAAAAGTATGTCCATCATGAGATATCTTGGAAATGTGGTCCAAGTCTAAACATGAAATTAATGTATATTTCATACATTTCTTATACACATAGCACAAGTATTGTGAAGCACAATACTTTTAGCAATATTGTCCATTAAATGATATTAGTGTACCATCAGAAAACAAAGGTGTCACTGTCTCAGCCACCCATGTGGACCATTCCAGATTTTGGAATAATTTGGAATTCTGGATAAGGGATATTTAACCTGTATTGAGTTTCTGTAATGATTTGTTAGTTCTGTTGACTATTTTGATTGGATCCAAAGAAGTGTGAATGGAAGGCAAGGAACAGCTAACTAGATTAGCTCTATTTCTCGGTGACCTCCTTTACAGAGTCCCCTGATTCCAGTCCAGGTCTGAAAGATGAAAAGCCTTACTTAAGGAAAGGGAGCTGGGTTCTTAAAGATGCCCAATAATGGGCAGCACTTGAACAGCAGACTAAGAAATAGAAATGGGTCCCTTGGCTCAACTCTTGCCACTCAAGTGAGATACATTGCTTTTCTATTCTAAGTTACAGTAGAGTCTTGCTTATCTAAACATCGCTCATCCGATGTTCTGTATTATCCAACGCAGTCTGCCTCCCACCCGGGATAATGTCCAGGGTGGGAGAAAGAAAGAACCCTTGTCTGTTCTGGTGCTAAATTCATACATTCAGTAATTCCTACATAACAATACTGTGTATTGAACTGCCTTTTCTGTCAATCTGTTGTAAAACATTATGTTTTGGTGCTTAATTTGTAAAATCACACATAATTTGACATTTAATGGACTTTTTCATAGTCTCTCCTTATTATCCAATATTTTCGCTTATCCAACATTCTGCTGGTCTGTTTTTGTTGGATAAGCAAGACTCTACTGTATTTCCAAGTGTGCACCATTGTCAAGAAGTCATAATATGTAATTTTTTAATGTTAATCAGCTCCTTCTTTTGTCCAGTTATTGTTTTATGTTTGGGCTGATGCATCCCCTCTCCACCCAGTGCCATTTTCATGTTTGTGTAAGGCTTCTTATGGATGTATTTTGCATTGGATTTCCCTTAGCTGAAGGAATGTGCTAGTGAGCTGTAAGACCAACCTTCCATGGACAGCCTTCCCTGGGAGGAGGAAGGGCTTCTTGGGATCCAACTACTAGTCTGGTGCTGTAAGGGGGCGAGGGGCTAACACTAGCCACAAATGGTACCTACAGATGGCACCTACTGTGCAAAAATTTCCTGCTTTGTCTGTGTATATTTCATATGTTTCCAAAAGCAATCTCGCCCCCCCAATAAACATGGAAAATGGGCTCAGAGTGATACTGGTGTGTGTATGAAAATATCATACAAACGGTCGCTGTTAAATCTCTTAGCAGAATGTTTCTCCTTGGAATATGTATTTTTTAAAAGAATATTGCTGTTGTGTTTCTTGTTTTTTCAAAAAGTGACGCAGGCGTCCTAGCCCGATGTGGCTGTTGCTGCTTGGAGTTAAAGCACACATGCTCTTAACTAGCATGCCAAATGTTTGCTATGGCGCTGCTACTTTTGTCAAAGTTAATCTTTGCCTAGCCATGGCTGCTGCTTCCCTTATGTGTGTTCGTGTGTTTTGAGTGAGGCTGTGTGTGCAGGTACAGGGTACCACAAAGTGGTACGAGAGCATATATATATATTTGGATAGCTTGAAAGCAACTGCGGAGAGAAACTAGGCAGTACGCCATTCCAGTTTTTGCTACTGCCTGGAGCAGTCGTTCCCAAATGTGGCTCCCCGGGTGGTTTTTGGACTACCATGCCCATCCCTTTCCAAGTGAGTGAAGCAACTGATTGGGGATGATGGGAGATGGAATACAACCAGAGGAGTCTTTGCATTCTGTAGCAAGGAGAATTCCAATTGCCTGTCCGCATGGAAAGGAGGTGTAACATTGTAGAGCCCCCATTCCTGCTGCATGGGACACAGGGAAATCCAGGTATCAGCTGTGTAGCTCTTTGGGAGACCTATTGAATGGGCAAGCTGCGTGGGTTGGTATATCTGGTTTTATTCTGAATGTTTAATAATAATGTAGTTGGATCAATTTGTCCTTAAGTTTTATGTTTTGATACTTTAATAATAAAAATGGACTAATACCTGTGTTCTCCTGTGTTAATTAATGGATCTTGTCTGGAAAACAGATGCTTACTCACCCCTCACTCCCCGGTTAATGGTTTTAAAAATTTGTCTTAACTATTATCCACATTTACTGCATGGCCTTGCCCTGCCCCCACCTCATGCCAATATTAATGCCAACATCATGCCTTCCGTTTCTTTTCTCCAAGCATCATCTCACGTGTTGCCTGGTTTTCAAAACTGGAATAAGGTGTATTTAAAATTCATGAGAGTCATGAAGTCTGTATTAGCAAATTTATATTTAATTTCAATTGGTGAGTATGTGTCATGCTGAGGGAGGCAGACTTACACTATAATCTCACAAAGCTATATCATAAGAAGCAAAAATGATGGTGGGCTTCAGCAGGCTGCTCTCACAGTGCATTCCACAGCAAGAACATGACTCCAGAAACCCTGTTACCAGGTACCAAAATTCAAGTGGCAATGGAGAAGGAGATGAAGGAGTAGTTTTCATCATACGTTGAACATGACTCAGGAATGTAAAGCTGCATCAAAGAAGGTGAATAATAAAGTTGCTGTAAGTTTTTTCAGGCTATATGGCCATGTTCCAGAAGCATTCTCTCCTGACGTTTCACCTTCATCTATGGCAGGCATCCTCAGAAGTTGTGAATAATTATATTTTGCCTAAATCAATAAAACCACAGTTTCCAAGTCAAGGAAAGAAATAGTGGAAGCGAAAACATCATCATCCAATCCCTCACTTACCAGCAAAACACACTTCCATTTTTAGTGCAATGGCTGCCTGGTAGATTAGGTTTATAATTCTAGCAATAGTGTCACGATTAAGGCTATGCAGAGTTAAGGCTTTATCACACCAGCCTGTTGTTTCACAGCAATTGTTTAAACAAATGGAAACAAAGGTAAAGGTATTCCCCTGACATTAAGTCCAGTCATGTCCGACTCTAGGGGTTGGTGTTCATCTCAATTTTTCAGCCAAAGAGCTGCTGTTGTCCATGGACACCTCCAAGGTCATGTTACCAGCATGACTGCATGAAGTGCTGTTACCTTCCCACCTACGGATCTCACATTTGCATGTTTTTTAACTGCTAGGTTGGCAAAAGCTGGCACTAACGGCAGGAGCTCACCCCGCTTCCCAGATTCGAACCTGTGACCTTTCAGTAGGCAAGTTCAGCAGCTCAGCACTTTAACCCATTGCACCACTGGAGGCAGTAATGGATATAATCACTTTAATATCTTCCCTCCAATATCACTATGGTGCCACTTTTGGCACTGCCTCAGTTGACCTTGGCCACCCTATGTAGCTATGTGGAGTGAAGGCATGGGATTATTTTGTTTGTTTTGGTCTTGTGTATTTTGGAGTCTAGTAGTTGCACACAGATGTTCTGGATACCTTTATATCCAGAACATCTGTGGATGGGGTGAAAACACATTCAAAAATCTTGATAAATGTTCCAAAAAAAAA